TCTGCTCGCTCAGGTCCAATTCAGAGGAGGCAGGTTAGTTTAGAAGAAAATAATGCTCTTATCCATTTGAAATGCACGATTTTTTGCATGTTTTGCATGAAGCGAATATTATTGCTAGACATCTTTTTGTTTTTCATTTTGATTTTTCAGTTCGACTTGTTCTTCATCACAGCATCTTTTAAATGTTCCCTTTGTTGTGCGGAACATTATTTGCTGCTGTTTTGAAGCAACCCGTCGCTTTTGTGCATGTCGTTTTCCAGGTCGTTCTTGGTGCGGCCACCGCTGTATCTAAAAAAGCATGGTGCATGAGGAATCGATGCAGATTTCCGCTTACTGCCCCTTTTCATTTTCGCTGCAGTTTTTCTGTCACTAACAAACACTGTTTTGTGTAAGCCGTCTTGCTGTCTTCTGTGTCTTGCTTTCTGTGGTTTCCCCTGATATTATATTTTTAATAACCAGCTGCACCTGAAAAGCATGTTGCACGGACTTTTTCCTCTTTCTGTCGCTTTTCATTTTCGCTGTAGGTTTTCTGTCATTAATAAGTTCTTATTTGTTGTGAGCCATATTTTCCTATGTCTTGTTTTCTGTGATGTCCTTTTCACCCTTTCGTGGTATATCAGGCTTTCCATTGGCGATAAATATATTTCACCCATGTTCTGTTTTTACAGAATGTGGTCTCTCGACAATAAACAATGCATATTAAGAAACCATAGGCAATGAGATAGTTATTAAAAACCCGAACTCAACATAGTAATAGCTGCTAAATCAACATAGATGCTGTAAACCCGTTCGAGTGTATCGCGATATCAATGAACTCACGGTATTACCCGAATATAAACATATCAGGAAAAAAAATAATTACAATTCTACATAGGTTCGCCTAGCGACTCATCTGACAGCGAACTATCAGATGAATTCCTGGTGGAGAGAGTATCTCGTCACTGTTAATAATGTTATTATTGGCATCCAATGCCTCTTTCATTCGTGCAGAATCCTCCTCCTTAATTGCATCCCAGCACCATCCCTCACAGAGGCTCCTCGGTATGCTTCCCAATATTTCAACAGCCCTATTCCTCACCTAAAAATTAATAATTCTTTAGATTTCATCATTTCTATCTTAAACGTGTTTCAGAAAAACGTTACTGTTTCCAGCCTATCTGTGGGTTTCCCAACTTGTTGAGTCGGTGCTTGAGGTAACTCCAGCACAGCTCCACTGGATTAAAAAAGCAGTGAAATGGAGGCAGCCTGAGCAGGCTCACTCCCATCTCCTCACATATTCTCTCGGCTGCATACGAGCGCAGGGCTGAGACTCCCCTCGACTGGCAACGAAGAGGTCCAGCTGAACTTGGCGTTACAGGGGAGTAGATGAGTTCATTTTGATGAACTAACGAACCTCATCTAAAAGAGAAGCTCTTGTACTGTCAAGGGCCACTTCGATGCCATGTGAGCGAGGTAGTCCATGATTTCCTGCCTCGTGGAGCTCCTGGTCGGAACCTAATGAACACAACTACACAGCCTTAATAGTGTGTACAAAATTTAACCTTACCCTCTCTAGTACCCTCGTATGGTAAGGTGCATTGTCGAGTACTAGAGTGACATTCCGACCAGCTGCGAATTCCCTCATCAGGGGGATTGACGATCGCAGCCATTCTTCAAAAATCGTGTGGTCCATCTCTGAATACTGCGCAGTTCGGGGTCCACAGACGAGAACGCGGGTACAGCCGGGTATGATTCCACTTCACACAACGCCATAATAACGATGCCGCGCTTCCCTTTATTCTTCCCAGCAGTCTTGCCACAGGAATACTGCTGTATGGTTTCCTCGGAGGGAAAGCGCGACAGGGTGTTGTCCATCCAGCCTCGTTTCTTAACCATACCCTCGAAAACCCACGTCTCGTCCATGTACACTACGCAGTCCCCTCTCCTCCTTGCTTCCTCGATGTTCCTCAAGTACAAGCGATCGCCTCCGCGCAAGGTCCGAGCGCTCGAAAATGTAGCGTTGGCCTTTGAGGATCTTGTAAGAAAATCCAAGACCTTTCATAAGCCTCCACAATGACATTGTCGACAACGCAAATTCTGGGTAGGATGTTCGCATTTGCTGGTGCAAGTCCACTATCGTCACGTCCTTTCTCTTCCTTGAACATTTCGTGAGCCAGTCGTCTTATACGCTCGCCCCACACTGCACCGTGGTTATTCATAGCGGTCATAACCGCCACTTTCCGCGAGCGATCTCTGCGAGGCGCTCGCGGAGTCGTGGGGCGGACCGGTGCGTTACTAACCCGAGTGACAGTGTTTTCACTCACGCCGCACGCCAATGCAGTTGTCGCAATAACTGAGTCGAAAACGGTTCCACGAGAAGTGGCCCCGAGATGTTCTTTCAGTTGAGCGAAAAACCGCTTCACATTGGCGATGACGGCCTTCGTTTCCGGGGCGAGCACGGGGTGGACACTCAAGTTTGCCTCCTCATTCACTAGCATTTCAAGCGAAATATGAAATGTATGCATGCATATGACCTGAAATGCGGTACAGAGGCACCCCCCGCGTTGAGCACGTTGCTCAGCAACTGGCCACGAAATGTTAGACTCCTAAAGCAAATCAATTAATCAAGGTTTGACACTGAAAGTACAGCCGTCCAGAGGTTACTCACCCCCACATGTGCACCTGTTACTGTCTCCCCTGTTTGCACCAACAAATGCGATCGGCTGGCCGACTGCAAACAAGTTTCCGCTTGATTATCAATTATTTTAGGGAGGAATAACAATCTGCAGCCTTACGAAATTGTTTGATCCGCTCATCTTGTTTCTAATCGAGTGAGGCTTGTGAAGCTTAAATAAAATCTCTTTCAAAGTGATCCAAGGGAAAAAGTGGTCTTTTCAAGTAAAGCAGTATACAAATTGATGACCGCGACATACACTACTTTACAAATCTCTTTGACCTGACATGCATTGTTTATTGTCGAGAGACCACATTCTGTAAAAACAGAACATGGGTGAAATATATTTATCGCCAATGGAAAGCCTGATATACCACGAAAGGGTGAAAAGGACATCACAGAAAACAAGACATAGGAAAATATGGCTCACAACAAATAAGAACTTATTAATGACAGAAAACCTACAGCGAAAATGAAAAGCGACAGAAAGAGGAAAAAGTCCGTGCAACATGCTTTTCAGGTGCAGCTGTTATTAAAAATATAATATCAGGGGAAACCACAGAAAGCAAGACACAGAAGACAGCAAGACGGCTTACACAAAACAGTGTTTGTTAGTGACAGAAAAACTGCAGCGAAAATGAAAAGGGGCAGTAAGCGGAAATCTGCATCGATTCCTCATGCACCATGCTTTTTTAGATACAGCGGTGGCCGCACCAAGAACGACCTGGAAAACGACATGCACAAAAGCGACGGGTTGCTTCAAAACAGCAGCAAATAATGTTCCGCACAACAAAGGGAACATTTAAAAGATGCTGTGATGAAGAACAAACCCGACACAAAAAGGTAAATTGAAAAATAAAAAAGAAATCTTACGCAACAAGCAGAAGGACGGCGACTGCAGCAGGACCTGGAAAACGACATGCACAAAAGCGACGGGTTGCTTCAAAACAGCAGCAAATAATGTTCCGCACAACAAAGGGAACATTTAAAAGATGCTGTGATGAAGAACAAGTCGAACTGAAAAAATCAAAATGAAAAACAAAAAGATGTCTAGCAATAATAACCGCTTCATGCAAAACATGCAAAAAATCGTGCATTTCAAATGGATAAGAGCATTATTTTCTTCTAAACTAACCTGCCTCCTTCTGAATTGGACCTGAGCGAGCAGAATATCAGTACAGAATAGGGGAATACAACAGGAAACGCGAATATCGCGGGGAAATCATAAAAACACAGACACCTGTTCAAAGCGCCAACTATCAAGTTTGTGTAGTCTGCAATTACGTCCATAGCCCCGCCTACCCCAACTTACGGATATCGACTGTATATCATTCGATAGCATTTTTCACGGGGAAGGGGCACATTTCAGGTCTGCGAGTTCATCTGGAAATGCAAAAAATCTGAACTTTCCACAAGGGCATGACGAGGAGGCATGTTTGGGGCCACACCACGGAAGGAACGCTCACTTGCGACCGAGTTTTCCACATAATTCCTACAGACAAGTGACCGTAGTCTACGACAGTGAAGGAAATTGTTCGCTATCTTCACAGCTTTCTGCAAAACATCTCCTCTGAAAATGGAAAATGTCACATAATAGGCCCACTATGCCTGCTGAGAACTGTTCAAAGATTCCACTTGATATACAGAGGATGGGATATTGAGAGCAGAGGGAACACGTAAAGCCAGTAAGCGCTTAAAAACGAAATGAAGATCTAAGAATTCGGAAAATAACATTCATCTAATCTCACAATGTAGTGGATGAGATTGAGTACGTGGCGCATTCTGGGGTAAGTTTTGAGGCCCTTCTTCTGTGTGTAGCGGTCAGCCCGCATAAGCGGGATTATATACACATCACATGCGAGCAACTACTTTTTGAGATGAAAATCGAGTGCATGGCGCAATCCTATATGGAGCTTTTCCAAAGTATCAAAGCACATTCTTATAGTGTCCGACGAGCTGAATTCAAAGATATCTTCGGATTCTCGAAAGCTCAATTTTGAACCGAGTTATAACGAATTCACGAAATTAACGAGGATTCGCGTTATTCGCGTGAATTTTCGATTTCAAACGGCGAGTACTGTATACTGATCTAAGATATTGCTTGGGCACAGTGAAGAATACAATAGATTTATTAGTTTGCCCTTGTTAGCCACAGCAAAGAGTAACAGTATTGACGATTGGATAGACGATGAGAGGATCCGAAGGTGGTAGCGCCAGGTAGGAGACCTGACCGCGAGTGTATTGCTGAAGGAAGCAGACCTGAGCCGCTGAACAGGTGAATGAAGTGACTGATTCGACTGAGAGACTGCTCTTGCCACCTAGCTGGGTTCTTGCACCCATTTCTCCCGCGCGATCAGGGTGGTCGATCAAATAAGTGACCACCATGATGGCTTTGATCCCAGATGCCATAATTAAATTGTTATGTAACCTAACCTGTGTTACTCTATGATGAAGGTAGCGTTTTGCTACATAGCGCGCGTCCCAGCAGCAGTGGGGCGTTGGTTCCAAGAAGTGATGTACAGGGTGGGACGGGAACATGTTCGGTGAGGTACAGGAGGTGATAAGGGCCGATAATTACGTGGGAACATATAGATCGCTTAAAACCGTGGTTCTAGATAACGCATTTCACTTCAGTATCATCTCATTGCGTTGTTGTCATCAACATAAAATACCGTTCGACCGCTAAATTCCCAAAGTCCCTAAGAATGTATGATGGATGTTTAGCGATATACGATAATGGGTATTTCTATTGCAAAATCATTGGCATCAATATTATTCGACCGCTAAATCATCCTGACATCCAATGCATGGTGGCTGTTTACAGACACCACTTTAGCTCCGCACTCCACCGCGCGTATCAGACGGTTGGTTGAAAATGGGCATTCTGTAGAAGGCCAGCTGACGCATCTCGCGAAGCAAGTGAGGGGTCGAGGAAAATTTTCCATACGATTGTTGTCCCCTTCCATTCCCATCTCCATGATGACCTACACCAACCGAAGTATGGAAAGTTGTTGAACCTATCTTGGAGGCCTTTGTTCTAAATAAACACCCGTTCCTCATGTACCTACCCTCCACCATAAAAGTCGTTCAGCCAGTAGGAAAAGACAGAGAAAGATCTTAGATCACTGTGCCTTACAATGAAAAGAGTAAAAAAAGTAAAAAAGGGTGGCTCAATACAGAAGGCTTACCCTTTAGTACTACACAGCGCATGCTTATCAATCTGCACGCCTTAGAATTTACCCAGCTGTGTGTTGGTTGATCTCGGGCACTGACCTTGGAGCAGCTACATATTAGGTTAAGATGTTTAAGATCTTGAAATTCGATCATATTTGAATAATTGTAGCGTTCTTCAAAGCGGACGAACTTTCAATCTGGTAGTAGATTTAGTTTCAAACGAGATCGTTCTGAACTGCCCTGGAAGTGTAAAAATTATTATGAAATAACGAATTTGCGTTGATTATGGAAAAATTCTGATGGAGGAGAGTTTGCACCCTTCAAAGCCATAATCCTTCAAATTCCTCAAGTATGGAAAATTAATACAGCACTGTTAACCAGAAGCTTCGCTCTAGGCAGCGCTTAGCAAAGTGGCTCGATTCGTTAGGCACGTCAAAATGGCTCCGCAGAGGATTTTTCGCCGAAGGGGTTCTCCTTTGCTGCATTAGCACTCTCAGCGACTACGGCCCCTCTGAAGGACTAGTTGCACGAAAATGAAGGCAGATCTCAACCCGCAAGGTTTCGCTCTCCAACAAGTATAAAAGCGTATAACAGGTTCCAACTATAGCGATTATATTTTTGTTGGTTCCCTGAAGCTTCATGATTCAAATTGAAACGAGTGTGATTCGGAAGCTCTTCTTTCACAAAGCTTTATTGATAACCTTCGGGCCTAAGCCCTTCTTCAGTCAACTGAAACCAGTTTAGCTCCGCACGCTACCGCGCGCATGACATCGAAGGTTTTCGGTGCAGCTGGACGG